CATGTAGTGCGAGAAATCCAACGGAGGCGATCGAGTCTTGTGGGGAAAAGTGCGCAAACCTCTGCAGAGTGTACAAACTAATCATGATTAGCCGTGTCCCCGGTTATGGACGTTTTGAGTATCTAGTACTTGGATTTTCATGTGAATCTCATCATGTTACTTTAATTAATATTGTTGGGATGTTAATGAGTACTTTTTAATTGGGATTGAGAATGCTGTCAACCATTCTCAATGTTTAACAACCACCATGATAGTTAAATAAATTTATTCCTTTGTAGTAGGGAAAAATTGGCTTTTCGCAAAAACATTATAACCATAGAGCCTCCACCAGCCAAATATGCATGTAGTGATAGCCTTTATTTCATCATTGCTCTATGGTGTGAATTTGCCAGTACATTCAATGTACTAACCCTTTGTGGCTGCAACGTCTCATGTTGCAGGATCTTATGACAAGTAAGTGATACGGTAGGGTTACGATTCCTATACTCAACTTTGCCGTTGGTGTTGATGGGAATCCGCAACCTTGTTACTTCCGCTATTTTGGATTGAGGTAATATTATTTACGTTATTTTATACATGTGATTTACCTCTGTTATAAATCCTCGAGTACTGTGTGTGTCAGCATACCGATCCAGGGATGACACTTAAGCACAGAAACTTGATCCATTCAGGTCGGATCGCTACAGCAGGGCTTTGCCTAAGCACCGCTACGATATTACCGAGGTGGAATATGGCGGAGGGGGGCACCGCACATGGCTGGGAGAGATCAACAGATCAACCTGTGTGTCTAGAGGTGCCCCCTTGCGCCCATATATAAAGGAGCAAGGGGGGTGATGGCTGGCCAGGAGGAGGGCACGCCAAGGGGGGGAGTCCTACTCCCACCGGGAGTAGGACTCCACCTTTCCTTGTTGGAGTAGAAGGGAAGGAAGGAAGAGAGGAGAGGAAGGAAAGGGGGGAGCCGCCCCCCTCCTTGTCCAATTTAGCCTAGAGGGGGAGGGGGGCGCGCGGCCTGCCCTGGCCGCCCCTCCTCTTCTCCACTAGGGCCCATGAGTCCTAATAAACCCCCCGAGGGGTTCCGGTAACCCCCCGGTACTCCGGTAAATGTCCGAAACCTCCCGAAACACTTCCGGTGTCCGAACATAGTCATCCAATATATCGATCTATACGGCTCGACCATTTCGAGACTCCTCGTCATGTCCGTGATCATATCTGGGACTCTAAACTACCTTCGGTTCATCAAAACACAAAAACTCATAATACCGATCGTCACCAAACTTTAAGCGTGCGGACCCTACGGGTTCGAGAACTATGTAGACATGGCCGAGACACATCTCCGGTCAATAACCAATAGCGGAACCTCGATGCTCATATTGGTTCCCACATATTCTAGAAGATCTTTATCGGTCAAACCGCATAACTACATACGTTGTTCCCTTTGTCATTGGTATGTTACTTGCCGAGATTCGATCGTCGGTATCTCAATACCTAGTTCAATCTCGTTAGTGGCAAGTCTCTTTACTCGTTATGTAATGCATCATCCCGCAACTAACTCATTAGTCACATTGCTTGCAAGGCTTATAGTGATGTGCATTACCGAGAGGGCCCAGAGATACCTCTCCGACAATCGGAGTGAGAAATCCTAATCTCAAAATGGCAACTCAACAAGTACCTTTGGAGACATCTGTAGAGCTCCTTTAATCACCCAGTTATGTTGTGACGTTTGGTAGCACACAAACTGTTCCTCCGGTAAATGGGAGTTGCATAATCTCATAGTCACAGGAACATGTATAAGTCATGAAGAAAGCAATAGCAACATACTAAACGATCAAGTGCTAAGCTAACGGAATGGGTCAAGTCAATCACATCATTATCGTAATGATGTGATCCCGTTAATCAAATGACAACTCATGTCTATGGCTAGGAAACTCAACCATCTTTGATCAACGAGCTAGTCAAGTAGAGGCATACTAGTGACACTATGTTTGTCTATGTATTCACACATGTATTATGTTTCTGGTTAATACATTTCTAGCATGAATAATAAACATTTATCATGATATGAGGAAATAAATAATAACTTTATTATTGCCCCTAGGGCATATTTCCTTCAGCGCTACCTTGTACTGGGTGGATGGCGCTTTGTGGAGTGTAGTGTTGTTTTACAACCACTAGGGTTGTTGTTTTCTTCTTTCTTTTTCTTTGATCTTTGGATCTTCACCATGTTATGTTTCTGTTGCTTCCTGCGAAATCTGAATCAAGCCAGGAATTTGTTGGATCTTTCAAAAAAAATATTTCCTTATATTTTTGTTTATTTGTTTGCTTGTAGTCACGTAGTTCTTTTTCCTCAATTTGCTAGTGACCGCAATAACCATGGGCCTCATACGGACCATGGTAACCATGTGCCTGCTACCTACCGTAGTTCCCATGGGCCTCCTACGGGTCATAGGATCAATTGGCCGCACATTGGCCGTGGCGAAACTAGATTGCAATATGAGTCATAAACTGTCCAAAATCAAAATCATCTGTTTATACACCGAGACTATAGCGGGCCCTTAACAGGACGGAAGACAACATAGGCTTAATTCTATGGATAGGCATAATGGATCATTAACGGGCCGGAATACATGACAGGATGAAAATGGCCCAATGTGTCAATGGGCCACAAACGGGCCGATTGTACCCACAGGCTGAATTAGGCCCATTAGCAAAACATGCCCGTAACAGACTGTAAGTAATTGAGGGCCGGAAATGAGCCCAAGAATTTATGGGCCCTTAGAAGGCTGAAAGCTAACACTGGATGGAAATGACCCACCTCACTCATCGGTCACTAATGGGTCCAAAGCAATTTATGGTTCTTCATGGGCCAGAATCACCACAGGCCGTTAGAGGGCCCAGAGATACAAAAGGCCTCATATGGGCCGAATGACATCATGGGTCATACATGGGCTGAAAGTGAAAATAGACTGGAATCATATTGGACAGCCCACATGATGTTACTAGGCCAAATTCAGAAAGGCAATAACGGGATGTGAGTTCCTGGGCCGTAAATTGGCTATATGCGAACATGCCGTTAACAGGCTTTCCGTGGGCCGACCCACTAACTTTTGACCAAGTCAAAAAAGATTGGACTTTTTAACCTAAATGGGCCACTGTTGGGCTATGCCACATGTCAACGTATCATAGGAACCTCTCATCCATTGAATGGATGACATCTAGCGCAACACCGAGCTGACATGTGATTCCTTTAGCCAATGAGAATTTTTCATGTGGAAAATCGTCATCGATCATGGCTGTTAATGGGTTATCGGATCCAAAAATGGATCAAACAGCATAACGATGACCCGTTACGGTGGATGCCATGTGTCAGTTACCCTTAACAGAAACCCTTCCATGATGCGACATTTATCATAATGGAAGTGGACACTTCCATGATGATAATTAAAGTATTGTCATGGAATACTTCTACGACATCACAGATACGGCTATATTGATTCTTCTATAAAATTGTCATGAATGTACATGGATGACAGAAAACGTGACCTACTATGAAAAACACGTACCCGCGTGGAAGTGGTTTTTTTTTTGTAGTGTGTATGATCGATTCCAACTTTGACATGGTCAAGAACGGCTGTGGCATGGCCGAGCATACCTTCCCTATGACCGAGTCCGACTCCATATGGTTGAGTCGAGTCCTCCATGGACTCTGCTAAACTGAGTCCAAGTCCTCATATAGTTTGCCTCACTTTGTTGTTGCATTTTTTGGGGCCATGAGCGCATCAGTTTATATAGTAAAAATTAATAAAGGCAAGAACCCTATGATGTACGAGCAGTCAATAGAGAACAATTGTAACATCCATCCAACAATGACATTTACTTTTTTTTTGTATTCGGCAGGAGTAGGTTAATAATTACTCAAATCGTATCCTCACCACATCCTAATTTATTTTATTTTCCTAAATTGATTAAAGATAAGATATTCCAGGATACTCAATTAAGACTCTCATATCAATGGACAGCACGACGTAGATACTAGATTAAAACTTCAAGATTGGTTAGACTACCCATAGTGGGAGTAATATAGGTGACGCCCTAAGCAAAAAAGATGTTGTGGAAGCTAATTAATGAGGAGAGAGACAAATTGAGTACTACCTCTGTTTCAGTTTACAAGTCCCGCGTGCATACCTAGGTTGGCAATTTTATCATCCTAATATAAACTATATAATACAAAAATTATACCTTTTGAAAGTAGAAACTCCGAAGTTTATGTTAGTATATTTTTTTTAATATATGACTTGTATTAGGTTAGTCAAGTTGACGACCTAAGGATACGTGCACGCCCTATAAACTGAGAGAGAGGTAGTAACATAGCTAGTTACTATATAAACAAAATGAGTCTACAACCTAATAAATGAAGTGTTGCCTGACACCGCACATATGTTACTCCCCACTATAGAGGTTGTAACATAGACTAGTAACATATGCATGTTACTAGTCTAAGTTACTCCCCAATACGAATAGTCTTAAAGGCATCCATATACACTATACTATACTATTCATAGACATATAGCAGAAATAATCAATTAATACTCTAGGGTCGCAAATAGCAAGACGTGGATACTCAATTAATACTCAAGATTGGCTAGAAGCATCTATATATAAACTTTGCACTACTCGTGGATGTATAGCGGGATACCCAATTAAAACTCTAAGATTGGCTAGCATCATCTATATATAAACTATCGGGCTAGTCATGGACATACAGACGGGATACTCAATTAATACCCACGATTGGCTAGAAGCGTATATGTATATAAAATATATTGCAATACTCAAGGACGTATGGAGGGATACTCAATTTATACTCTCATATGTTGTATAGAGGGATGCAGATACTCAATTAATACTCTAAGATTGGTTAGAACCATCTATATATACTATACTAAACTAAACTATTCATAGACGCAAAGTGTTACTAAGCGGTAGCCTCCAATAATCTGCCAATGGCCCCCAACTCTGACCATGATCACCTCCGTGCCCTCAAGAAGTTCGACGACACCAAGGCCGGTGTAAAAGGCATCATCGATTCTGGTATCACCTCCATTCCGACCATCTTCCACCACCCTCCAGAGGCCTTCGCCCCATTGGCACCTCTGTCCACTAATATTTTCATCCCGGTTATTGATCTCTTGGGCCACCGATCAGAGGTAGTCATCGCAGTGAAGGCGGCTGTGGAAACGTTGGGCTTCTTCCTAGTGGTTAATCATGGCGTGCCAGAGGCGACCATGTCGGACACGCTAGCAGCGGTAAAGGGCTTCCACGAGGGGCCAGTGAAGGAAAAGGAGCCCTACTACACACGGAGCGAGGGGAGGCGCGTTAGGTATAGTGGCAATGCAGACCTATTCCGATCCCCTGCGGCCAAGTGGCGTGACACCTTGTACATCGATGATGCAGACCAGCTGGTGGAGGAGGTCCTCCCACCGATGTGTAGGGGGGCTATGCCAGAGTACACGAGGCTCATGCGACAATTGGGCCATGTCCTCTTTGGGCTAATGTCTGAGGCTCTAGGGTTGCAGCATGACTATATGGAGGAGGAAACAGGTTGCTTAGATGCGCTACTCCTGGGCTGCCACTACTACCCAGCGTGCCCGGAGCCGCACCTCACGTTGGGTGCTGTTAGGCACTCCGACGCCAGCTTCCTCACTGTGGTGCTCCAGGACGGTACTGTCGATGGACTACAATTGCTCGTCCATGACAACAAGCAGCAACAGGTGTGGGTGAAGGTGCCGGCTATGGCAGGGGCACTGGCAGTGAATGTGGGTGACTTCCTACAATTGGTGTCCAACGACAGGTTCAAGAGTGTTGTGCACCGTGTGGTGTCCAACAGTGCAGGTCCCAGAGTGTCAGTGGTGTGCTTCTTCAGGGCAAATATGGCGACATTGTGCGGGCCAGTGGTCGTCGACGGGAGTGGTCCACCACGGTATAGGACCGTCAAGGCAGAGGAGCTATTTGGCTCATCCAGGACCATGCTCAAGTCGGCCTTATCACCCCAAACTGCGCTAGACTACTTAAGGCTCTAATAAATATATAATTATCATTCGATCGCTAGAAATAAATTGAATCATAGTTTTTTCTGTTTGTGATCGATCCAATTTTGGATATGCCATCGAGTGTGTATGTTTCCTTTGTCAGATGATAATTTCATCCAGTTGGTCATCGCTGGCTATTCAGTCTTATTTAAATGTGAGATATATGTTTCTTGATCCATGCAAGATGGAACCACCCATGAAAATTATATATGTGTAACATTTTTTCTCTTTGGGCCCATCAAAATCACCAAACAGTGCAACATTTAAACATGCTCATGGAACAACCACTACTAGGAAAAGGGCTATAGATGGAAATGACACTAATGGCGCACCAGACAAGTGGTGCGCCATTAGTATATACTAATGGCGCACCACCCTCTGATGCGCCATTAGTGTTGAAACTACTAATGGCGCACCCTGACCACGGTACGCCATTAGTACCAATTTTTTTTTTGAACTAGTGCGCCTGTCCAAACATACTAATGGCGCATCCCCAGGTGGTGCGCCATTACTAGTTGTAACTAGTAATGGCGCACCATCCAGGAGGTGCGCCACTAATGTTATTTTTTTATTATTGCTTTTATTCCTTTTTTTGCAAAAGTTCTAATGGCGCACCGCCAGGGGGTGCGCCATTAGTAACCTGGATTACTAATGGCGCATTTGTTGCTGGTGCGCCATTAGTAAGTGGGCAGCAACAAGATATTTTGGACAGCCTCTCCTCCCACACTCACTTTCTCCCCACTTCATTCTCTCCACCGCCTCCTCCTTGTCTCGGGTGCCTCCTCTTTTTCACCTCATTTCCACCATAGATTCATTCAAATTAAGTGGTTAAGTTACCTTGTTTTGCTAGGTAAGTAAGGGGGGAAACTATATTTATGTTGTTCTCCCTACAAACAATGTGCACATGCACTTTTTATGGCCTAGCTAGATCTATGTATGTTCGTGGTGTTGCATATGTTTGTGGTGTTGCATATGTGTTTGTGTTTGGAGGTGTACCGGTATTTGAAATGCGATAGTTGCCAATATTTTGCCGGAATGTTGATTCATTTCCGTTTCGGCGAGAATTTTGGCATTAAGCATTCTTTTTGGTCCTATTTTTAGGGAAAGTCATGCCAAATTTTTTCTTGGTTCTAAAATATCGTTTTGCTCTACCCCGCAGGCGACCATGGTCCGCACGATGACCGAAGGCATCGTGAATAGGTTTTTGAGGTCCGCGAAGGCCGAGATGCTTCAAAAGAACGAGACGGAGATAAGATGTCCGTGTCGAAGATGCAAGCTGAATAGCCTTATTGCGGACCCGGATTCCGGGCAGGTG